GAGGACAAGCTGTTTCCTTATATGGGGTGATGGTAGGGGAGAGTCCAGGGATCTGGCCAGAGGGGTAGCTTGCCCACCTCTTTGATGGTGGTGTGTGTAGGGGTCATGAGCAGTACCTGCTTTTGCTCCCAGATCTTTAGTGGTGACAATTGTTTTCTTAAAGAGTATTTTTTTACTCTGTATTTTACTTACCTATTTTTTGGCTGTGCTGGGTCTTCCTTGCTGTGCACGGGCCTTCTTCAGTTGTGACAACTGAGGACTACTCTTTAGTTGTTGGTGCAAAGGCTTCTCACTGCAGCGGCTTCTCTTGTTGCAGAGCGTGGGCTCCAGAGGACCAGCTCAGTAGTTGTGGTACACTGGGCTTAGTTGCTCCGAGGCATGTGGCATCTTTCCGGACCAAGGATGGAACCATTGTCCCCTGCATTTACAGGCAGATTCTTTACCACTGAGCCACCAGGGAAGCCCCGGGTTTTTGGTCTTTTTGTATCTTATTGTCCATTATTTGCCCCAACTGCGCAGGCACACAGTTATTTTTAGTCCCTTAGAGTTTCTTTGTGTTTTTGTTGCTTGAAGAGAGTTTTGTCCAGGTGCAAGCATTGCAACCAAGGGTCCCAGGTCCCAGCCTGTCTCACCAGCATCCTTAAGACTCATCTACTTTCCCCTGTGACCTCCTTCCCCACCACACCTCATGGCCAGCTGGGCTTAGGATCATTGAGAATGCTCTCCCCCCACCACAATCCCAGTCTGTGGCTCTCCTCCTGCAGGAATTCTGGCTCAAGAATTCTTAGGGATGCTGGAGTGCATGTAGACGAGAGCCGTGGCCAGGGAACCCAACTTCCCCCTTGTGACTTCAAAGTGGCCACACTCTCCTGCTAATTTATAACCTCCCTGCCCATGATAGTTTCTGGAGTCAGAGAGGCCTGAGTTTGAACCCAAACTGACTGTATCACTCACTACCCAGATGTGTAGACCAGTGGCTTAATCCTTTGGAACCTCAGTTTGCTCATCTATAAAATGGGTGCTGCCTTGCTAAGCTGTCAAGAAGACTGGCGGAGATCATGCATGTGAATACTGGTGTCTGAGGCCAGAGTTCTGGAAGCAGATCCTAGGATGAGGATCCATGTGCATGTCATTTATAAAGAAGTGCTCCAGGGAAGGGCTTTCCATGTGGCACTGGTGGTAAAAAGAACCTACCTGCCAGTGCAGGAGACCTAAGAGATGTGTGTTCGATCCCTGGGTCGGGAAGATCCCCTGGAGGAGGGCATGGCAGCCCACTTCAGTATTCTTGTCTGGAGAATCCCCTGGACAGAGGGGCCTGACAGGCTACAGTCCATGGGGATTGCAAAGAGTGGGACACGACTGAAGCAACTTAGCACGGATGCACACCCCAGAGGAGAGTGGTAAGGGAACTGGAGAGAGCAGAACGGGGAAGGGAGGAAGGCAAGCGAAGGGGTGATGTCAGGCCAGAGCCCAGGAAGGGCAGCTTCCGCTTTGGCCCAGAGGGAATTTTGCAATGTGTGTCTGGTCCCAAAATTGCCTCTGCCAGAGCCATGGGGTGGGGCCACCTAGATCAGCCTCTGGCTGATGACATCGCAGAGAAGAAAAATGTAAGTTTCCAGGTACTTTCTGAATGAAGATGGGCAAAATGAAGTCGAAAGACTTCCTGAAGACAATCCTCCAAAGACAGAAAGACTTGAAAAGAAGTGCAAGGACATCAGGTGGAACATTAACACCTTCCAGTATGACTTGGCACCAGAAAGATGCCTAAAAACCCTGGCCCTGAGTGCGGCATTGCTGCTACTATAGCATAACCTCAGCAATGATCCTGCTTCTTACTATAGTTACTAATTTCCTTGCCTTGGGTGGGCTGAAAATTTCAGACAGATGCTCTGAGCCCAGTGGGTAGACAGGAAAATAAATCTGGCAGAAAGAAGCAACATAACCCCAGCCACGCATCTGAGATTCCAGCGCCTGTTTCTCCGTGGTTAACTCACTCCTGGAGCATCTCACTGCCCCACGCCCATGCCATCTCCCTTCCCATCTGAAAGAGCAGAGTTGGGCCCTGCTGGGAGGGGCAGGTGGTGGGGTGCGGACTTGGCCCCAGGCCCACATGGGCAGGAGGAGAGCATCCGCTGGGGGAGCGGGGGCGATGTGGGGGAGTCGGCTGAGTCAGAGAGCCTCACCGTGGTGAGGGGCGGCCTCCGCCCACCAGCAGTGCAACAGCAGCTGGAGGTAAAGGCTTCTGGGAGTGAGACCAGGCCTCCCTGCAGGCATCCGCCCCCCTGCAGGGCCCCGCTCACCCTGCACCTCCTGCCTTCCTCCCCGCTGCCTGGTGGGCCCTGGGCCAGCAAAGGGCTTTGGAGGCTGTGAGTGTTCGGTGCCAGGGGGTGTTTTAACAACATCCAGGCTGCCAAGAGCACATTATTCTCTTACAGAAATCCAAGGGATTGCCCAAGAGAGGTGATATTTTTGTAGCACAAAAAGAGAGAGATTCAGGCCAGAGCCCAGGAAGGGCAGCTTCCGCTTTGGCCCAGAGGGAATTTTGCAATGTGTGTCTGGTCCCAAAATTGCCTCTGCCAGAGCCATGGGGCGGGGCCACCCAGATCAGCCTCTGGCTGATGACATCGCAGAGAAGAAAAATGTAAGTTTCCAGGTACCTTCTGAATGAAGATGGGCAAAATGAAGTCGAAAGACTTCCTGAAGACAATCCTCCAAAGACAGAAAGACTTGAAAAGAAGTGCAAGGACATCAGGTGGAACATTAACACCTTCCAGTATGACTTGGCACCAGAAAGATGCCTAAAAACCCTGGCCCTGAGTGCGGCATTGCTGCTACTATAGCATAACCTCAGCAATGATCCTGCTTCTTACTATAGTTACTAATTTCCTTGCCTTGGGTGGGCTGAAAATTTCAGACAGATGCTCTGAGCCCAGTGGGTAGACAGGAAAATAAATCTGGCAGAAAGAAGCAACATAACCCCAGCCACGCATCTGAGATTCCAGCGCCTGTTTCTCCGTGGTTAACTCACTCCTGGAGCATCTCACTGCCCCACGCCCATGCCATCTCCCTTCCCATCTGAAAGAGCAGAGTTGGGCCCTGCTGGGAGGGGCAGGTGGTGGGGTGCGGACTTGGCCCCAGGCCCACATGGGCAGGAGGAGAGCATCCGCTGGGGGAGCGGGGGCGATGTGGGGGAGTCGGCTGAGTCAGAGAGCCTCACCGTGGTGAGGGGCGGCCTCCGCCCACCAGCAGTGCAACAGCAGCTGGAGGTAAAGGCTTCTGGGAGCGAGACCAGGCCTCCCTTCGGGCATCCGCCCCCCTGCAGGGCCTCGCTCACCCTGCACCTCCTGCCTTCCTCCCCGCTGCCTGGTGGGCCCTGGGCCAGCAAAGGGCTTTGGAGGCTGTGAGTGTTCGGTGCCAGGGGGTGTTTTAACAACATCCAGGCTGCCAAGAGCACATTATTCTCTTACAGAAATCCAAGGGATTGCCCAAGAGAGGTGATATTTTTGTAGCACAAAAAGAGAGAGAGAGAAAGAGAAGAGAAAAGTTCTTCAAAGCTCTGAAAGGCCTGTTGCGTCAGGAATGATAGTGGATGTTTGAGAATCTGGGTCCTTCATCAGCCAATAGACAGGGGATCCGAAATTGCTGTTTGTTTGCTTCCTTCACTGGATGGTGTGTATCAGGTGTCCCTAGGACATTAACGTGGAGGGAACAGCTTGTGCAAAGGCAGAGAGGTAGGGAAGGACAGCTTGTGAGAAAAGAAAAGCTGAAGATCAGTACTGTTGATTGTGAGAGATGGAAATTCTACCTCTAACCAACTTAGGCAAAGAAAAAGAATTCTTGGTTCCTCTGATTGAAAGGGTGAATGACTGGCAGTTTCAGGCATGGCTGGATCTAGGGGCTCAAACAATGTCACAGGACATGATCTTCCTTTGTCTCTTGGTGTTGCCTTTCTTGGCCTTGGCTCTGCCCTCAAGAAGGCCCTTGCTACTCAGTGCAGCCACTTTCATCCTTCCCAATCTCAAACTGAGTGGAAGAAAAGGAATTGTCTTTCCCAGTAGTTCCAGCAAAAGTCCTGTGTCTGACTCATTGAGCTGTCTTGGGTCATATGTCCATCTCCCGCTGGCCAGGTCTGGTCCATAGTTCCTTCTCAAAACCTATGGTTAGTGTGGCTTGGAAGGTAAGTGGCTTCTAGAAAAAAAAATGGGGTGGGGTACAGGGTAAATAAAAATGTAAGTGTCCTTTGAGGGCAACCATGATGTGTGTAAGAGCTGGGATGTTTATAGCTACAGGCAGCAGAGACCACCACACTGGCCTGCTTAGATACAGGGAAGCCCGGGGGGTTGGTGGTTGGTTGGTGGTTGGTTGGTGGTCAGGGTATCCCAATGAGCTTCCCTGGTGGCTCAGTGGTAAAGCATCCGCCTACAATGCAGGAGACAGGAATTCAGTCCCTGGGTGGGGAAGATCCCCTGGAGAAGGAAATGGCAACCCACTCCAGTATTCTTGCTTGGGAAATCCCATGGACAGAGGAGCCTGGCGGGCTACAGTCCATTGGGTCGCAAAGAGTCGGACCTGACTTAGCAACTAAACAACAACAACAACGAGATCATCTTTCCCAGCAACTAGTGTCAGCCCTGAGATGGCCCTCAGCGGCAGTCACTTTACAGATGAGAAGAGAAAAAGAGCCTCTTATCCAGCCACAGGATGGAAATTCTTCCCTCCAATCTGAATGGACCCGCTTATGGTCCACATGATTGCCTAGACCAGCAACCATCACCCCAAGAGTGCCATGATCTGATGGACTTCAGCTAGGGTTCCTGAGCCAGTCCCGGTGAGGAGGATGGCTGGCCAGGATCTCCTTATCCAATCAGGACCCATCTTAGATCCGATGGTCTTCTCTAAAACAACTTGATCCTCCAACCTAAGGGCACAGGGTGGAGTGAACACGGGGAGAGTCCGCCCTGTGGGTCCTCATCTCACGACCTCCCTCCTCCTCCGTGCAGGGGTCCTGTGGCTGTCGGTGGTCTCTGAGGTCCTCTATATCCTCCTGCTGGTGGTTGGCTTCAGCCTCATGTGTCTGGAGCTCTTCCACTCCAGCAATGTCATCGACGGGCTCAAGCTCAATGCTTTCGCGGCTGTCTTCACGGTGCTTTCAGGTAAGGCAGAGGGCCTTGGGCAGTGGGGGAAGAACCCACCAGAACCAACCCTGCACTCAAGAGCAGAGGAAAATGCGGAGGGTGGAGCCACCTTCAGGCTAAGACCTGACTGGCCCCCCTGGGTGACTGTGGCCCAATCACTCCTTTTTTCTGAGCCTCAGTGTTACAATTTGTAGAGTGGGATTTGTTTGCTTCCTTATTCTCTGAACCAGCACGTGTTTACTGGGGTCTCATGTGCCAGGTTGGGTGCTAAGAAGTGCTGGGGTTAGAGTAATAAATGGAAACAGACAGTTGCAGCTCTTGGTGAAGCTTAACACATGCAGGACAGAGAGATGGTTAGCTGGAGATGTTTCCAGGAGATGAATGCCGCATGGCGAGATGATGGATGGGATGTGTCCACAAGGGAGAGGGAGGTGGTCATGAGAATGGCCATACGGTGGTGTCCTGAAGGATGTGAAAGGGGAACCTGTTGAGGGTGGTGGGCACGTTGATTATCTGCTTTAGCTTATTGCCCTTGAGACATCCTTGGGGAGATGGCCAGCAGGAAGCCAAATGAACAAACCCATCTGGAAGCTCAAGGGTGGGGGCGGGGTGAGCAGAGATCATGGGGAAAGGTCAGGGATTTTGAGGGTTTTAGGAAGAATTGGATGGTTGGCGGCGGCAGCCTGACTTCAGGAACTGGAGACAGAAGACTCCAAGGAAAGGTCATTGGATTAGGTGGCCAGGTGCCCAGAATAGCTTCAGCAGATCCAGGTCAGAAGGGGTTAAGCCGGGAGTTGGCCAGAAGGGAGTGAAAGGAGCCCGTAAACCATAACTTCAGGAGGCCTGACAGATAGAGCAGTGGCTTGGCTGTGTACGACAGCTATTCCTCAAAAGCCAGATGTAAATTGAATTTCTATAAATCTAATCCTATTCTTCATGCACTGGAAGAACTCTCTGTTTAATGAAACCGAAACGATGAACCTTTAGGTAAGGGAAATAATCGGCCCCTAATTGAGATACGTATATATAACAGAAGGATCTCTCAAAGAATAGGGAGCAGAATCCAAGAAATTATAGCATGATCCATAGATCAAAACGCGTGCATCGTCATTCCCAGGATGTGGGCAATCTAACCAAAATAGTAAAGGGAAGAACAGAAAATCAGAGTGAGCCTCACGGCACAGTGTTGATTTCGGCCCCCTGCTTACTCTGTTTTCAGCTATTCCAGATCGAGAGATAGTTTATTCTTTTTTTGCAGTTGTTAAATGCATTTATTATGCCTAAAATCAGTTTTCATTCATAGTTCTTTTTCTCTTTTAATGTTTTATTCATTTATTCAACTGACGACCTGCTGGGCTCCAGGGAAAGTACTAGGTTTGGGGGAGTCAAAGAAAAAATAATTCCATTGTTGCCCTCCTGAAGTTTATGATCTTGGAGAGATATAGACTCAGAGATATGGACTCATTAAAAGATTGTAACTTGGTGAACTGGGTGGGGTGAGTCCTGCGGGGCAGGACAGGGGTGTAACCATTTGAGCTGAGACTTTGGAATAAACTTTAAGAGTTTGCTTTATAGACAGCTTGCGTGCATGCATGCTGGGTGGCTTCAGTCGTGTCTGACTCTGTGACTCTCTGACTGTAGCTTGCCAGGCTCCTCTGTCCATGGGATTCTACAGGCCAGAATACTGCAGTGGGTTGCAGTGCCCTCCTCCAGGGGATCTTCCTGACCCAGGGATTGAACCTGTGTCTCTTATGTCTCCTTGATTGGCAGGCGAGTGGTCAAGTACTTTACCATCTGGGAAGCCCAGTGGATAACTTGGGGAGGGCATTCTAGGTGGAGAGAACAGCATAGGAAAAGGCCTAGTGAGTTGTCATATTCTGGCAACTTCATGTAGTTCAAAATGATGGGAGTGTGGAAAGTCAGGTGAGGAGGAATGTTGAGAGATGAGGCTGGAGAGCCTGGTGAGGGTCTTGGTGCTTTGCAAAGGTCTGTAGAGTTTATCCTGCAGGCAATAGGGAGCCACTGAAGAATCCAGAGCAAAGGGTGATACAGTCAGGTTTGCATTGGGGGATGAGGATTCAGGGTGCAGAGTGGAGCAAGAATGGAGGTGAGGAGGCCGGAGCGGAGGTGAGAAAGGGTGAGGCCCCAGCACTGTGCAGCCCCAGCGCCCTCCAGTGAGGAGTCAGCAGGGCTTGCAGACTCATTAAGTGAGGTAAGCAGGAGTGGGTGACTGTGGAAAAACTGAGCCCCTAGGTCAGGGGTTCCTAGTGTGGAGTCCACAGACTTGAGGGCGTCCATGAACCTGGATGGGGGAGAAGTTGCATCTTTATTTCTCTTGTAACTGACATTTAGAATATCTTTTAAATATGAAGGGAGGCAACACATCACAGTTGTGGGCAGCACCTGTGATGCAGCCACCAATAGGAACCGCAGTTTTCATATCACGCTATGGTTGTGCAGATATCTTGCAATGCGCTCCTTCAAAAGGGCAGTGCTTCTTAGAGCTTCTGCTGAATCTTATCTAACATGGTAATAAAGGAGCACGTATATTATGATACAACACATGTGTTTGAGTATTTTGCTAATTGCAATTCAATATAACTGGTTTCTTCTGTAATCTTGTTATTTTATTTTATGCAGCTGAAAACATTATTCTGGGGATGGGACCCTAGGTTGAGATGACCAGACCCCTTGCTCTGGGCTGTCATTTGGCTGGGACAGAGTAAGTAGTGGTACCACTGAGATGGGGAAGGCGGGAAAAGAGCAGGTGGAAGAGATGATGGGTCCATTCTGAAGAGGTTGGGTGTCAAAAGGAGAGGAGACATCAGCTCACATGTCCTACCAACCTCCCAGAATCCTTCTTGCTGGAATCCATCTTGGCTGAGTGATGCCACCAGGAAGAACCTGGGCTAGAATGATTGGCCAGAGACGACCCGGAAACTAATCCCGTCATAAGATGACCTGTCGCTGCGAGAGTCACGTGGCAGATCAGTTCTCCTGGCTTTCCCTACCCTGCTGCCCTCCACCCAGGCACCTCTTCCTGATAAAGTCTCCTGCTTTGTCAGCACGTGTGTCTCCTCAGACAACTCACTTCTGAGTGTTAGACAAGAGCCCACTCTCAGGCCCTGGAAGGGGTCCCCCTTCCTGCAACACTGCAAGATATCCAGCTCCTTTTTGTGTCAGTGGCTTTATCTCTCCTTTTCTTTCTCTCTACTAGGCATCAAAGAATCCCCTCCATTATCCCAAGCATCCAGCCCTCCCCTCAACCTCCTTACTCCAGTGACATAACAAAAGCTGGTGGCCAGCCCCAGGCAACCGTTTCCAGTTCTACAAGCAGCTTCCTTATGGGGAAGCAAGTAGGGGGCTCTTGCCTCTACCTTGAAGAGCTTATCAAAGTTTTCACCCCTCAAAAATACCCCAGTTTCCTTTAGCAGGGAGTCCTACTGNACTCCAGTGACATAACAAAAGCTGGTGGCCAGCCCCAGGCAACCGTTTCCAGTTCTACAAGCAGCTTCCTTATGGGGAAGCAAGTAGGGGGCTCTTGCCTCTACCTTGAAGAGCTTATCAAAGTTTTCACCCCTCAAAAATACCCCAGTTTCCTTTAGCAGGGAGTCCTACTGCGAAAGAAAATAAGATTGTCTTCATAATTTCAGGCAAACAATGCCGGGCTCAGGGAGGTTAATTGATTTGCTCAAGGTCACAGGGCTGGTCAGTTGTGGAGCTGGATTTAAACTCCACTCCTGCTGGCTTCAAAGCCCCCTGTTTGTCAGGATCGCACTGCAGGAGTGAACCCCTGGGTGGGGAGGGAGAAGCCTTTTAAATCCTCAGAAAACATTAACTGAGAAGGATGTCGCACCAGATCATGTGAGAAGATGATGTGATAAGCAGGTGGTGGAGAGAAAGGATTCTATCCATGCCTGTGTTCAGTCGCTCAGTCGTGTCTGACTGTTTATGACCCCAAGGACTGCAGCACGCCAGGCCTCCCTGTCCTTCACTGTCTCCCGGAGTTTGCTCAAACTTATATCCATGGAGTCAGTGATGTCATCCAACCATCTCATCCTCTGTCATCCCCTTCTCCTCCTTCCCTCAGTGTTTCCCAGCATCTGAGTCTTTTCCAGTGAGTCAGCTCTTTGCATCAGGTGGCCAAAGTATTGGAGCTTTAACTTCAGCATCAGTCCTTCCAATGAACAGTCAAGGTTGATTTCCTTTAGGATTGACTGGTTTGATCTTCTTTCTGTGCAAGGAACTCTCAAGAGTTTTCTCCAGCACCACAGTTCAAAAGCAAAAATTCTTTGGCACTCAGCCTTCTTTACGGTCCAACTGGGAGAAGATAAACCTAGGAGAAACAGGAGACCAAGAGGGAGCCAAGCCCTGAATTACCTGATTGGAGGAACCAGAAAGCTGGTTTTTTCGGGAGTCCCTTGGGAACAAGTCATCTGGGGAAAGATGGGGAGGTGGGGGTGAGAGGCTTGGAGCAGGTGGGTGGGCTTCTGGTTGCCTCCTCTGGGAGGGAAGAATTAGGCAAGCAGGATTAGGGAGGGTCCGTCGATTGAGTTCGTGTGGGGAGAGGGTTGGGTTCTGACGCTGCTGAACCAGCTCACATTGAGGGGCGCTCAGCCCAAGGTCAGTGCTTCTAGGGCAAAGGAGAAGGAGGAGGTGAGGCGGCCCCTACTGGAACCAATTATTATAAATAATTGTTATAAAGAGCCAACGGGGGACTTCCCTCGTGGTCAAGTAGTTAAGACTTTGCCTTCCAATGCAGGGGAAAAAGCCAGTGCACGGCAGCTAAGACAGGACGCAGCCAAATAAATAAACAGTAAAAAAAAAAATGAATCGGTGGGTTAGGGTTAATTGTAATAACCAATACCAACTGAGATGCCAGGTTGCACCAGCACTGGGCTGACCTGCTGCACATGTTAATATCTTTATGCGTCAGTGTCCTTGTGGGGGGACTAACATTATGTCCATTCCTCAGATGGGAAAACTGACTTGCTGGCAGTCACATAGCTAGTCAGTGG